TTGGCTTTCAGGACCTGCAATTGTTCAATAAGGCATTAATTTGCAAACAGCTACGGAGAGTGGCTTCAAATCCTGACCTCTTGGTAAGTAGGCTCCTCAAGGACAGGTACTTTCCCCATTCATCTATTGTTCATGCAAAAAAGATTCAAGGGGGATCATGGATGTGGAACAGTTGGATGGATGTCCTTCCAATCTTTGCAAAGTGCATGAGGATTGAGGTGAGAAATGGCTTCAATACCAGAATAAATGATTTTAACTGGGTGCTTAAGCTAACTGAGCCAGCTCCCACTTTAATTCCCATTGCTATAGACCATATGATTTGGGTTAAGGATTTAATGCAGGCTGATAGTAACAGGTGGAATGAGTGGCTTGTTAGACAGGTTCTTGATGCAGATGATTGTAAAGCTATTTTAGATATTTCTTCTCTTCATGCTGACAGAAGTGACAGGATGTACTGGGGGTTGGAAAAGAAGAGCAACTTCTCAGTGTCCAACACTTATAAGTATCTGTCCAATCTTAAACTCTAGCAAGCAGACATTCCAGAAAGTAGCAATGCATCCTTTATCAAGAAGGGAGTTAAATTCAGATACTGGAAACTTAAAATTGTAGGCAAAATCAAGTTCTTTTTGTGGAAGTGTTTATCTCAGACTCTACCTGTAGTTGTGCAACTCATTAAAAAAAGGAGTGGAGATTGATACTGTGTGTTTAATTTGTGAAGAGAAACAGGAAACTATTGAGCAAATTCTTCTTAACTTCCCAAGAGCAATGAGGTGCTGGGAGCTTAGTCCTGTACAATGGGATGGACTCAGAAGTAGAACAGGCTCCTTTTCAGACTGGTGGTTTCAAGTTTGTTCTTTGGACAATTCTGAAGTGGCTGAAGCTCGCATTCAACTCTCTTCTTATATGCTTTGGTGGCTTTGGAAGTCCAGGAATCTTTGGATTTTGCAAAGGACTTGGATACATGAACATGTGATAGTGAAGCTGGCTCATTCTGACTGGATTGAGTTCTCCTTAGTTGTTGTTAGCATTTGATTTCTTTTTGTAGTTTTTTCTCTTTCAGTTTATGTTTGGCAGGGTTTGATTTGAAGAAGTTTTCTCCTGGATAGGCTTTTTTAGCAGTGGTTGGGTCTGTTTTCTTGGATCTTTTTCAGTTTTATTTAGTTTTCCGAGTGTTAATTTTTGTGGGATTGTTGGTGTTAGTTGAGGCTTTAGACCACCTTTGGTGCGTCTCTCAGTTGTAATTTTCAATGTATTGTGTGCTTTGTATTCGAACGGTGTTCGCCGATTTTTATTAATATAGTTACTTCTGTCGTTTTGGGAAAAAAGAATTATATTGTGCCCCCCTACTTTCAATGTCTGTGTCCGCCCCTGCATGCAGCCGGGTCACAAACGCACGGGAACACGACTGAATCAGCTTGAACGTCTGCCCCATCGCACGCCGGCGACCGCCGTGAGCAGCCCCGCCGACGGCCGCAACAACGAGCACATCCAGCCATCACACGCGAGCGAGACCTAAAAATCGGAGGCATCATCGGAGACCAACTCGAGATCTCGTTCGACGAACAGCCTCCGTGAACGCCCGAGTCGCACGCCGCCGTGATCCCGCAGCCACACGGGAGTCGTTTGTTGGTGTTCAGGCCGGAGGAAGCATGTAGCTATTCGCGGACAGCCTGAGTGCACGCAGCTGCACTCCAAATTGTCCGGCGACCACCCACCAGCCACGACGCTTGCTTGCTGGGAGCCATGTTCGACGAGAGCAACTGGAGATGCAACATCGCCACCCATCGAAACTCGAGCAGTCGCAACTCGTCGAGCCATCTATCCGTGAGAGTCCAGCCGAGGCCGAGGCCGAGAGAGCCATGCCCATGATCGGGCCGATCCCTTAAAATTTGGACCTGCATCCCGTTGCTTATAGAATCCCGAGAGAGGTTCTTAATTCGAATCATCTCTTAGTTTATTCAAGTATAAATTGAAGAATATATGCTTAAGGTTCATGATATTTTAGATCCTTTGAATTTTTTAGAAAATTCGAAGGTGTTGTGAAATTAAGAAGTATTTGGACTCTCTTGTGTAGCCTTGAATCCATGTGCTTTTGTGGCCTTGAATGTTGAAAAATGGAGCCTCTCAACCACTGAAAATCATGTTGAAAAATGCCTTCAAAAATGACGTGAAAACATTTGAAAAATACTTTGAAAAATGCCTTGAAAATGCCTTGAGAAAATTTGGATTTTGTGGTTTGAGTTTTGAGACAAATGTTACATTTTAAAAGCTATTTTGGAGCCTTACAGATATTCTGTAAAAACCTTGTTGTCCTTGAAACCCTCGAACCGTGCCTGGCCGTGAGCCGCCGCTGGTCGAGAGATCGTGGCCCAGACGTCGCATCGACTGGGAAAACAGCAGCATGCAGACGCCGCCGAGCACTGGACGCATCGGTCTCGCAGGTGCCTTGTGTCGGCGTGCAGTGCGCAACGTGTCGCGACCCGCGCCCAGTCCCCTCAGGCCGCGCCGCAGCTGTTGCCATTTAGTGTCCGCGCTCAATTCCCTACGCCTCCCCGTGAGTGTCCCGCAAGCATGCACGCACGCCATTTCTCGTGCCAACGTATAGCCGTGAGACCCCAACGACCCGAAAGCCTGCCTTTTCTATGCCAGCACGCACAAACCCGAGTCCATCAACCTGGGATCGTCCTAGCAGTGCAGAGTGCATGCGGTCACCCGTGCCAGCGCGCACGACCTAGGCCTCTCCGTCCCATAAGTGAGCGCACACGTGATGCCAGCCGTAGCACCGGGGAGCGCTAGGCCGCATCAAGAAGGGGAGCGCCTCAGGCAACCTGAAACTTTTGTGCCCAGGCGACCGGTGCCAGCCGTGATCAGGCTGCACCAGCGCCCAGCCCGCACTGAGCCATGAACCACCTTTTATAGTTTTGAAATATTTTCGAGCCAAAAACGTGATTTTAAGACGGACCATAAATTTTAGACCCGAAAAATCATTTTTCGAGCATCTAAAATGCCTTTAGCTGAGAGTTCTAAAATTTAAGAAAATTTTCTAAGTCAAGAACCTTAAGCTAAGAAATTCTTCAAATTGGTAAATTAATTTTCAGGTTGAGCAGTTGGCCGTGGGAATTGGAGGGCAGTGGTGGTCTTTATTTAGCTTTGATTTTTCCGCAAAATCTTTACAAACTATCTATGTTATCATGGTTTGAGATCTTGATGGAGTTTAAACTTGAGACTATGTTTTAAATTTACGATTAAGTATTTGAGCGCTCTACTTGTCTTAAATTGTTCGAGAAAGTTTATGAGAATTTGGGATGCGTTTTCTCTAAGAAACCAAGTGTGAGACTTGGGTTAAAGAAGAAGAGAAGAAAGAAAGAAAGAAGTTTTAGAAAAGTTTCTAGAGAGTTTCGTTTCGAAAATATTTTTAGTAGTTACCCAAGAGAAAAGTTTTATTTTGAAAAGTATTTGAAAAAGTTTAAATTATTTCTGAAAATACTAGTATTTTCTAAAGACTAGTATTTGATCCTGTGAATTTGCATAAATATAAAACACATTTTTATTTGTATTTATTAATTAGACATGTACTTTTATCATATAAAAATTATTACTTTTTTGAAGTTATTTTTATCATTAAAAATTAATTGAAATTTAAATTTTATTTTAACCATGCAACGTTTACATTAATAACATGAATAAAATTATTTATATATTTGTAGCATATATTAAGAAAATTAACATAAATAAAAAAATTATTGGTGTTTCTGATATTTAGAAAAAAACAATATGTGTCAATCATATTTTTCTTCCAACAATGCAACCAAATATAGTGGTTACAGCTTTGAATGTGGCAATCAATTTTAAGTTCCAACATTAGCCGTTACACATTTGAATATTTTGCTACCAAATTTAGAATTAATTTAGTAATTGATCCAAAAAATAAATAATAAAAATATATATATTAAGGTGTACCGATTTTAGCGGATTAGTGAGTAATTAATGAGTAATTAATTAAAAAAAAATGTAACTCCTTTTGGAGGGAAATGAAAATAGGTTTTATTAAATATTTTATTATATGCATCAGCTAATAATATATATATATATATATATATATATATATATATATATATATATAAGTAAGTGGACGCTACAATGAAAGTCCAAGAAGCAAACAGTTATATCTAGGTTAGCACAGAGGCAGAACTTCGAGCACTTGCTACTACCACCTCAGAAATTATATGGCTTTAGTGGTTGTTAGCCGATTTCGGTATTCCATGTGAGGCTCTTACACATTTTCATTGTGATAATATTGGAACAATACAAATTGTCAATGTTCTAGTAAAGCATAAACTTACAAATTTTATCCGGTCTCACTGTCATCAGAAAGTAATTGTTCTTTTGTAGGAATAGTTAGAACTGCAAGTGACTGATATTTTCACTAAAGCACAAATTAGAAAACAACATCCACTTCACTTGCTCAAACTCAATGCTTTGGATCCTCCACCTCCAGCTTGAGTTTGAATGGAGTGTTAACTACATTAAAGGCCTAACCCATATATACTTAAGACCCTAAGTCAATATACATGAGTATCTTCATATGTGAATTATTCATTCGTCCAAAACCCTAAGGTTCGTAACAATGACAATAATAGTAAGGCAAAATTGCGTCTAATATCATGACCTTTATCGAGATTGCAAATTAATCACAACTTTTTCTCTTTTGCACACTATATCACGCTCTTCAATCAAAACGATACACAGTTTTGACCACCAGCCCTAGAAAAGCTGACGTGGCACTCAAAATGCCACCACGCCTGCTAAGTTGTATTTACCAGCCGATTTTTTTTCCACCTCATACTAAGACGACATCGTTGTGTCTTACTTTTAAGTATTTTATTTTTTTTCCACGTCATTCGAAAACGACGTCGTTTCATNAATCCTTTCTCCCACTGCCCTCCGCCGCTAATGGACAATTCCGACGACCCAACAAGTTGTCTTCCACCCAACACGAGCTGTCATTCACCACCGCTGCTGCCGCCCAACCTCTCCTCTCCAAACCCTACCCGCCGCTTGAGCTGCCCATCGCCTCCATCTCCGGACACGAACAAGAACAAGAAGGTCAGTCACAAAACCTTCTCCTACAGTTAAGACCCTCGCTCCATTAAAGACTTGCCTTTTCTCCTTCTGTTTTGTCTCCTCGTTCTATGCACCCTCGTCTTCGGAATTTTGCCTATGTCATAGAAACCCTCACTGCCGCCAAATTTCGTCTTTCATCTACAATACGACGTCGTCTGAAAAACAGTGTGATTTCTCTGTAATTGCTCCAAAGTCATCACTTTTCACTGACTTGATTAATAATTCATTGTTTTCAGACAAGCCCACGACCTTAAATTCCATAAGTTCGAGTCTTGTTAAGAACTTGATATGGACACTTGTGATAACCCTGTTTTTAAGCGGCCCTTTGTGCTCTCCGTGCTTGCGCTGCTCAAACGCTATGACGTGAAAAAAAATATACTTAAAAAGTGAGTCGAAACGACGTCGTCTTAGTCTGACGTGGAAAAAAAAAAACGGGTACCATTCTCCGCTACCCCAGCTTCACCTTGTGCCACATTGTCAACTTATTTTGCTGGTAAATATAACTCAGCAGGTGTGGTGGCATTTCGAGTGTCATGTCAGCTTTTGTAGGGCTGGTAGTAGAAAAACCGTGTATCGTTTCGCAAAGAATAGAAGAGCCTGATATAGTGTGCAAAAGTANCATTTATGATACTTACTCATGTTATCACATAATAATTTCGGAATAATAATAATAATAATAATAATAATAATAATAATAATAATAATAAAATTAAAATTAATAATAATAATATGGACTGTTTTTCATATATTCTTTGGGGCATTAAAAATTATTTCTACTATGTACAGGTAGATTCAATGGGACCATTTCTTATAATGAGAATGTGAAATCAATCCTAGCAATTGATTTGTATATAATCAGGTTCATATCCAAAAACTGAGATTTACATTAATTATATGATAAAAATTGAAAATTATTATATTAAAATTATATATGATAAAATATCAATTGACCCATGTTGACCGGCGGTGGCAGCCGTTGAACGGAGATTTAGAGTGACAGTAAAATAAATTTATCTACATCAAAATCATCATTGTTGACATTGTTAGAGTGGGAGATTTAATGTCTAGGGATGGAAGCAGGTGGGATGAGACCAAAGTTAGATCAACCTTTGCTACTGAGTTCTATAGTTCAATTCTAAGCATTGATTCCATTGATCCTAACCAAGATGACAATTGGGCCTGGTCACTGCATAAGAAGGGTATGTTCACTGTACAGTCTACCTACTCTCAGCTTATCACTGAAAAATTCCTTAAGCAGGACAAAGCACAAGGTAGCAAGGACTTAACCACAAATTGAGGTCAGATCAAGAAGCTGGAAACTTAGGGTAATTGGGAAAGTTAAATATTTTATTTGGAAGTATTGCAATGGCTCTCTTCCTGTGAGCCTGAACTTAAAAGCCAAAGGTTTTAGGGTGGATCCTATCTGTAGACTGTGTGGTGAGGAAGAGTCCATAGAACATGTGTTGTTTCATTACAGGTTTGCCAATCAATATGGAAGTTGGCTCCTATTAGTTGGGATGGGCCTAAGGGAACAAAGTCTTTCAAATCTTGGTGGTGGCAGATTTACCATTTGGACAGGAGTGAGACTTCTGAAGCAAGGATACAACTTTCGACCTATATACTTTGGTGGTTTTGGAAGTCGCGCAACCTTTGGGTGTTTGAGCATATTAGGAGACCTGCATAGATTGTCATCAGAGTAGCAGTCCAGGAGTTGAAGGCTTATCTGCAGTCATAAGTGCTAGGTCTCTTGGTTTGGTTCTTTTGGGTTCTGTCTGTTTGGTTGGGTTATATTTTGTTTGCTTGGTTAAGGGGTAAAAGGTCAGTTGAGTGTAACTTCTTTACCCCTTTGGTTTGGTTTGTGTTATTTGTTCTTCTGTCTTTGTTTGGTTCTAACCCACATGTGTGTGGTGCTCCCATTTTTTTGCTATGTGTTTATATTAAACATTGTGTTTTTTGGTTTTGTTATGAGCATTTTCTATCATTTTGGACAAAAAAAAACATACAAAAAGGACATTGTTCATTTAGGTAACCACATAAATGCCACATGGGAAATAAGGCTAAATTTAAATGTTTACTATATTTTTGAAAATTATTTGCACAAAAAACACAAAATTCAAAATAAATCATACACAAACCATTTAGAAACTAAAAATAAGGCAAAAAATATTACAATTTACAATCAATAACAAAAATAAATCAAAAAATCAATCATACATAAACTATAAAATTTAATATATTTGTACTTAAAATAAAAATGAGATTTGAAGGTAAAGGTACAGTTTTGCTATGAAGCCAATAGTTGACTTCATAGTGAATTCAACTTTCTATATACAACAAGTAAATCATACCATATTAATAAAATTATTAGTATTACCTAAGTAATTAGAGAATATGATATTGTTTACTTGTTGTATATAGAAGATTGACTCCACTATGAAGTCAACTGATGGCTTCATAGCAAAACTGAGGTAAAGGGCGTGTAATTTCATGAAGAAATAATGACCATTTATTCAAGATGCTCTAACAAATGGGACACTAATAACAATATCCAAAAGGAAATGCAAGCTTAAAAATTGCCGGGTCTATTGAACCACAAGACAAATGCGAGGAACAAGAGCAAAGATAGTTTATAGCAAGGATGTTTAGCCCACTGTCCAGCTTAAACAAAATTTCATTCTCAATTGATCCCACACCGGGAGTCGCCCTCAAAAGCATTCTGCTATTCGTCCTCTCTCATTTTTTTTTAACAAGCTTTGTTTTCCCTTCTAATTCACACAACACCAATAATAAAAATATGGCAACAAACCAATTCCAGTCCAGTCAGCCTCACTCACAAACTACGTAAGATATTTTTCACCTACGGCAGAAGAACGAGAAATCCGGGTGATTGACACGAAGCATATTTAGCCAATCATCAGCCGATTGCAAGAGGGAGTTTGCTAATTGTTGATTCTCCACATTTGGAGTCCATAGAGATAGTTTATATTTATATGACGCAAGGCCGAATGCTGGAAGTGAAATTTGGGCCACACCATTACTCTCAAATGGATACGCAACTTTGGGAGGATGTGGGATTTCATGCCCTACACAAATGAAAATGGAAAAATGAGCAACACTTTATTCAGCTATTGACCAAATTAAACACAAAAGGGATTTAAAATCTTCGAAAATGCAAACGTGTAAGAAAATGATGTGGTAGAGAGCTGGGTTGAGCATTTTACCGGTGAAGGGAGTATGAAGGGAATGAAAGGTGAGAAAGCATGCATCCAAATCTTTAAGAGTTGGTCCTGTAGGTATTCTGTAGATAGGATACCTACAAAGTAGTTTTTCTTAAACATAAGGTTAGCTATTCACATGAATCAGCAATTAAGTTGTCCATAACAATATAGAAAATATAAAATATAAATACCAGGCTACAGATATCCAACTCGATGGAAGCAGATCACAACTTCTGAGGGTTTTGAGTTCTGGGAAGTCATCACCAAGATCAAACAACTGAAAAAATATAAACATAGTGTCAGAAAAAGAAGAATTTTATACAAGAACTGCCTTGAGATTTGTCTCAGTTACAGGAAAACAACAATAATCACTCGAAATTGCAAATACTCTCTTGAAGCATTAGAAACAACCTCCACAGGTTTTTATTGACTTAACAAATACCCTTACAGAGAGTGAAATTAGGAAAAATAAAGGCAAGGAAGGAAATATTATGTCATATAATCAAACCCATTTAAAAAAAAAAAAAATAGAAAAAAAAATCAATTATAAAGAGGAAATGACCTTATCTGCCAAAGGTTCCCTGCAATATGGTTGGTCCCGTGCAAAATACTCAAACAGCAAGTGATTTTGTGAACTTCCAGATTCACCCTCATCACTAGAAAAACCTTCTTGAAATGCCGTATGTTGCTCTCTCGACAACAATTCATTTACTCTATCTTGTTCGCTATCACTGCTTCCATCACTACATGAATCCCTGAAGGACTCACTATCGCTTTCTTCACCAAGCGGCCTACACACAACAGCAGAATAACTTATAAGAACAAAAGAATGTGATTAATGAATAAACCCTATAAGCACAAGGAGAAACTAAATCAAAGAACGAGGGCTTCAAATACAACTGACAGATACAAGATTGTGACATTAAGAACAACCACTACACATACATTGGATATGGAATTCACAGACGGATAATGAAACAAAAGCTATTAACTGAAAAGGATAACTAGCAAAACCCGGGAAGAAATTTTATTTTTAAATACGGCAGCTGCCATTAACCAACAAAATATAGCACAAAGGCAATAGGTAAAACTGCTAACATCCCCTTTTTTCTGACTTTCTCTGTTGCTAATGTAAAGGCAACTGCAATTTTAGCCAAATCAGAGGCCAACAACTCGTTACTTAGATTTAATGTGATTATTTCAAGTATAATAAAGTTGGCCCGGTTCATACAAGGTAGAAATTAAATAGGGAGAGCAAACGTATGGGAATATAACAACTTGTTCACACAAAGAATGACCAACTTCTACTTTCTATAACCTGGATAACATGAATCGAGGTTCAGTGACCATTTGTTAACAAAAATTACAGTCTGTGAACTTAAAGTTTGATAGAATATAAGTGCAGAAAACAAATACCTTAAGTTCTCTGTACTCTTAGATAGGTCAGCATACAATTGAATGCCTGACAAATAGGGCACATAATACTGGACAACAGTATCACTGTCATTCAATATTAAAGGCACCCCAACACCATAAGCACTCCATTCCTTGAATGACATCCATAAATCACTGAGCACAAAATATGGCTGAACATCGGCATTGCACATTTTCCTGTTCCTCACTGTCATCTGTATCATTTAAAGATAAACAAAATGAACAGAAGAAGAAGAAGAAGAAGAAGAAGAAGAAGAAGAAGAAGATTATCAATCAACTAATAGCAATACAATTAACAAAGATGATTGATGTGCGTAAACTGAAACCAGAACACTACTCTGGAGAGAAGGCATTCAAAAGTTTGCTTTAATCTTGATCGGTGAGGAACTTGACTGTCCTCCAGCCATATTAGCACACAAGAAACAGAACAGTAATATTCTTAAATGTCGATTTTTGTAACCACACGATCATTTAATCAGAATTTCACCACTGTATATTGCTTTAGCACCAGAAACGTCGTCGTAAAAAATTTACCAGAGCAAACACTAAAAGCCAAAAAGACCAAACTTTCAATTACTCGTAACAGAAAAATGAATCTTTCATCATTCTAAGAAAACAATCAGCATCACAATGATCCCACTTAAACAAGGGATTCCAAACAACGACGACGATAAACCTGATTCTGATTTTTATTGTCATTTTAGTGTTTAAAATATCAAGACTAAAGGGTATCATTTCAATCAACTGAGTTATACCAACAATTAAAAATTAAAAAATACAGAAAACACGGAGTTCATGACCCGCTAAAATCTGATTAAATAGTGGGAATAAATAGCTACATACTCCAGAAATCCTGAGCGTGTTAACATCAATAAATCAACCACTAACTCTACAAACCCAGCAAGCAATTCTCAACCCCAATGTTCGAAAATTTGAAAGAAGTAAATATAACCTTAGATAAGTACTGCGCAGGCACCGAAGGCGTGACCGATTCCAAAAACCTTTTGAGATTACACCAAGGCGAGATTCTTGACTCTTCCGGCGAATCTTTAGCTGCCGACTCAGATTTCTCCGGTGGTAGCTCATCACTCCGGCTCCGCAGCGAGGCTACTTCACTCTTAGCCCTCCGCACAAAATCTCGACTCCGGCGAGCCCTCCCGGCACTGTAATACCGATCGCCTCCGTTTCTACTCTTATTGAACTGAACTCCGGCCCCCGACATGATTTATGCCCCAACAGGAAAGAAAACCCCAATCTTCACCGATATAACTAGTATTCTTGTGAATGTCAAAGAACCACCCCAAACCCTCTTTATCAAAAAGTCCGTCAGGAAGAAAGAGTATTTCTAATGGCCCATTATTATGGTTAACTTATTACAGGTGATCAGTATACAGTTAATTAGATGCAAATTGAACTAGTGTAGTCTTGAACTGATTAGCGAAGAGAAATTTTTTACACAGATCAAACGAAAGTTGCAATTTTATAAGTGAAAGAGAGGGAGAGAGATTGTGGATTTTGTGTTTGTGTGCTTTGTTGTTCAGAACGACTGTATATATGGTGTAAAGAGAGCGTGGTGTGTTGCTGTGATCGAGGAAAATGTATGAGGTTGATGACAAGAGGAAAGATAAAATAGGACGTTTGTAACTACTAAGATAGTCTCTAGTGAAAATATCTATCTATTTTACTCTCTACTCTCATATTCATCTTGCATTTAAATCTCTCTTATTAAAATAAATGATAAAGAAAATTGATTTGTGACACTATCCTTACTTACACATTATTTTACTATTTTTCTTTATCTAAAAATCTAATTTTGGGTGGCTTCTTCTTCACTTCTCCCTAACCCGTTTCCCTCCTTTTTTTTCTGCATCTTCTCGCCGCCGGCCTCAATTTTTTTTGTTTTTTTTGCAGCTTCATCTCGCCGGCGACACCAAATTCGGCAAGAAGAACACCGGAGGCAACAATTCCGGTGACATCGGGGCTTTTTCCGGCCAAAATTTGTGGTTCTCTGTCCGAAAATTCCTTTTTTTTCCAGCGACATTGTGGTTTTTTCCGGCGAAAAGTTGAAGTAATAAGTAATGTATGTATTATATGAGAACTCTGGAGTCCAAAAATCATCTTTAATTCATATATTTTTGTTTGATTTGTGAATGATTGAATTTTGAATATTGTTGTTTATATTTACCCTAAAACAATTAAAGATCATAATCCATTTTTTGTGTTCATGTATACTAAATTTATGCTATTGTTAGGTTATGTTAGGTGTTATGGACCATAAAACAAAAAATAAGATGAGAATAATCATAGTACTACTATTCATGATGGTGTGTACCTCTGTTTGGATATATATAGTACCACTTTGCTCACTGTTGGTACCATCTGTGCTGGAAAATGTGAACAATTTTTTTTTCTTAATCCAATTATTGTTAGATACATGGAAGGGGCACAAAAATTCCTCTCTCTCTGTTCGATAATTCTTATTTTTCCGGCAAAATTTTAACTTTTTCCGGTGAAAACTTGAAGTAGTAAGTAATGTATGTATTATATGAGAAGTTTGGAGTCCAAAAGTGATCTTTAGTTCATATATTTTTGTTTGATTTGTGAAGGATTGAATTTTGAATATTGTTGTTAATATTTTTACCCTAAAACAAATAAAGTGATCATAATCCTTTTCTTTTGTTCATGTATACTAAATTTATGCTATTGTTAGGTTATGTTAGGTGTTATTGACCATAAAATAGAAAAATAAGATGAGAATAATCATAGTACAACTATTCATGATTGTGTGTACCTCTGTTTGGATATATAGTACCACTTTGCTCACTGTTGGTTCCACATGTGCTGGGAAATGTGAACTTGTTTTTTTTTTTTTAACCAATTATTGTTAGATACATGGAAGGGGCACAAAGTGATATATTAGGGAGTTGTACATACAAAGATGAAATGTATGTGTTCTCTCTGAACCTCGAATCAACTCTTGACGAAGTGTACACTCTCATTGCTAAGAGGTGGTCGATTGTTAGTTTGGAAACCGTCATGTTAAATTATATTGCGCCAAAGGAAAAAAAGAGAATTAGTTTGTCCGATGATGAGGATGTAAAAAACATGATTCGGTTACATCTTTGTTGGAAAGTAAATATTGTGGAGATAGTTGCTATTGAAAGAAATGAAAGTCCGGGCATTGGAAGAAATGAAAGACGGGATGATGGAGTTCAATCTATGTCGATGAACTTGAGCGGGTAATGTTGCTTTCATAATATTAATGAATTTATTATTGATATATGGTGTATTTGTATCATCATATCCTAATTCATTAATTTCTTAACTAGTTCCATTATTTATAAAAATTTGTATTATTTTATCATGAACGCAGGAAAATGTTACGGAAAGGAGAATCGGAGTTGGTAGAGCAAGATAAATCGATCGATTCTTGGAGACTCTCAATCAAAGGAGAGGGGAAAATGTTCAGTGGCGGCGCGGATGAATTTCGGAAGGTTGTTAAAAACTACGCAATTGCGAATAAGCGTTCTTTCAAGTACCGAAAAAATGATCAACATAAGATCATTGTTTGTTGTACTGATGAGGGTTGTCAATGGAGGATATATGCCTCAAAATACAGAGGTGATCAGGTCTTTGCCATCCGGAAGAGCAATTTAGTCCATACCTGTGGAGTGTCCAATCTTCGGACAAGGGGGCATCCGAAAGCAGACTCTCATTGGGTCTCGATTGCAATTAAGGAGAAATTGAGAGATGAACCGAGCCATAGGCCATGCACGATATTGAAAGATCTTCATAGAGATTATGGCTTGGAGTTGCCTTATAGAAAGGCATGGTTAGGAAAGGATATTGCCATGCAAGATATTCATGGAGCAGACAAGGGCTCTTATGATAAATTAAGATGGTATAGTACTAAAGTGCGTGAGACAAACCAGGGAAGCATTGCGGATTGTGAGCTTGACCCTGTCCAGAATAAGTTCCGCCGATTGTTCATTTGCTTTCATGCTTGTCTTGTTGGTTTTATAACCAGTTGTCGACCGTTGATATTTTTGGATGGCACTCACATAAAAAATAAATTCAAAGGCATTTTGCTTAGTGCTGTGAGAAGGATGCCAATGATGATTTGTTCACTTTAGCATATGCTGTGGTTGATGTCGAGACCGATGAAAATTGGGAGTGGTTTTGTGTGAAGCTGAATAATACTCTTCTTACCCCGGGCTTACTTGTTCCTAGAAGCTTCACGTTTTTTACGGACCGACACAACGGGCTTCTTAAAGCCATCCCTATGGTCTTTCCTGGCAGCCATCATGTTTATTGTTTGCGACACTTAGTCGACAACTTTAAGAATCAGGTAAAAAACTTAATTAGTCTGTTTATAATTATATTTAATTTATCACTAATTATTCATAATAAAGCAGGTTTTGATATTCTTTTGATTTGTACCTTTTTTATTTTTAAATGTTGTTGATTCTTGTGGTATATTGTTATTATTTTTTTTATTTTTTTTTTCGTAGGTTTTGAAGAGCTACCCACTTAATAATAAGAAACATTGGTCCTCAATTTTTAAGAAAGTTGCGTATGCTCCAACGAGGCAAGAATTTGATATGCATATAAATAATATATTAACTCGTATGCCTCTTGCTCTAAAGTTCCTTTAGGATTCTAACCCAAGTTGTTGGGCGAATTCTTTATTTACCGGAGACCGTTGGGGGATCATGAATAATAATCAAGTAGAATGTTGGAATAATTGGGTGAGGGCTGCACGATTTATGCCTATCGTAGCCATGGTCGATCACATACGAAAGCAAATTATGACCATGATGCACGATCGACGTGAAGGAGGGTCACGGTTTAATGGCCCGTTGTGTCCGAAGCTCGAAAAAATAATTTCATCTCGCTACAATGCTTCCCGGAGTCTCAAAATCATGCAATCAAGTGAATGGAGGTTTGAGGTTGTTGATGCAGACAAAAGTTGGGATGTGGATTTGCATACTCGCACTTGTTCTTGTAAAAAATGGCAACTATCTAAGATGCCATGTCACCATGCATGTGCTTGTGTTGAGAGTAAGTCAATGTCCATCTATGATTTTTGTGATCCATATTATCGAGTTGGGATGTATAGGCAAGCTTATCAAGGTACTATTAATCCTATTACCCAACTACGATCATAATGTAGCCTTTTCCTCCATATATCATGATGATATCATTCATGCTTCAGATGTACGACCTCAGCCCGGACGCAGGAGGGAAAAAAAGAATTCCTTCACAAGTTGATGTTGCGGTTAGGCGGTGCAAGCGTTGTGGTCGTCGTGGACACAATCGATGTACGTGCAAAGAACCTATCTAGATCACTCATGTATTTTGTTTTTTGGGCATGTGTATTTTTTTGTTTTTCGGGCAAGTGTAATTTTTTTTTTTGGTTGCCCAAGTGTATTTTGTTGTTGCCAGGTGTATTTTGTATTTTGTCAGTTGTATTTGGTATTTTGTTGGAGAATGTCTTTTGATCAATAGGTACCAGTTATTGATGAATTAGTACCTCTTATTCTTCTACTCAGTACCAGTTATTGATAAATTAGTACCTGTTTTGTAGAATGAACAAAAAAAGGGTTACTTCAAATCTGGTCAACATTTTCAAACCAGTACCAGTCATAGAGTAAGAGAGTACCTGTTTTATGTTATTATAGTACCAGATATTGGGTCACTAGTAGCACTTATAATGAACACCTAAAAAACACCGAAATTCGATCGCAAATGATGTTTATACGACCCATAATCACTCTCACGTTAGTTTATATGAGATTTAAAATTCTATTAATTAAGTTTATTAAGTCAAGAAGTACAATGTGATTTTTTATAAGCCAAGGAGGTTAAGTAGGACATAATAAATTCGGTGTTTCTATGTGTTCACTACAAGTGGTACTAAAGACTCTATATGTGGTACTAAATACCCACAAACAGGTACTGCCTTACAATATGACTGGTACTACTTTTTGTAAATGTTGACCACAGTTGAAATATTCCATCTTGACCAAAAGTAGGTACTAATTTATCAGTATCAGGTACTGCGTAGAATATTAACATGTACTATTTTAATGAAAACTGGTACCAGAAGTATATTTAGTATTGTTTTTCCATTAGTGCGTTGAGTTCGTGACCAAATTGAGATTAAAGTTAATTAATCAAATTTCAAATCTCATATAAACTAGTGTGAGAGTGATTATGAGTCGTGTAAACATCATTTTCGACCGATATTCGGTGTTACGATGTGTTCACTACAAGTGGTACTGGAGACTCCATAATTGGTACTAAACCCAAAAAACTAGGTATTACATTACACTATGACTGGTATTACTTTTTTAAAATGTTGACCGCAGTTGAAAAAATCAATTATCCTTCACAAAAGTAGGTACTGATCGACTGAAAACATGTACTTTGTATAAGCCAATGTGGTACTATTATGTCTAAATCGGGTACTATTGTAAGAATCGTGAAATTTCTAATCCTTCATGTCTACCATGTAACGTGGATCGTTAACGCATGATTTGGATGAAAAATAGTGGAATTTAAAACATATAGGTAGAAATTGGAGTAGTCATGTATGATGATTCTATGAGATGAAGTGTTCCATTCTATGAAGTGAAGTCTAGT